CCAGCTGTTCACCCACATGACTGGCTCCATGCAGGGCGATCTCTCTTTTGTGCTTTCCCACCGCAAGGGCTGTGGAGCTGCACTTGTGGCAGGTGAAATGATTCTCCAGAGTGTCTGATCCCAGATAAGGAGAGTCTTCTCCCTCGCAGGGCTGATGGGATTTGTAGTTGCTGTTGTAGAGCGCATGGCTCATGGATAGAGTGTCCTTGCCTTCGCAGAAATTCCACTGGGCTGTTTCCGGGCTAGACGTGTGCATTTCTTCAGCTCTACACTCATGAGCAAGTTTAAATTTCTTACTGAGTTTGTGATATGCAATGGCAATCATTCCCAGGGTGATCCCAACACCTCCTACAATTCAAAACAGAATGATTCCATGAAATAAATAAAAAGCAAAATCTTTTAAACACGTACAAAGTTATTGTACTCTTTGTATATTATTTTATGAATTTTGTTTTTGTTTGATCAATAAATTGCCATGTGGTATCAATCAACTATCAAGTAAAAAATTGCATTTAACTTGAATATGTCTGAGTAGAAACATTTTATTAATTATTATTATTATTTTTTATATATATATATAAATTTCTTTCAGTGAAAACTTTACAACAAGGTCTCATTTTTTAACGTTATTTTTAAAATGAATTATTTATTTATAACAGGAAATTATAAAAGTAATGTATTAATTAATAAATAAACAAATATATAAATTAGTTTAAGGCATTCATTAACATGAATAAGGGACCATAATGGAAAAAAGTCTTTGGGCTTTATTGTGTTATCCCTGACTTTTTTTTTTTTTTTTTTTTTAATGCATGTCACAGTTTCATACTGTTCATATTTTATATTTAAGTGGTCAAAATAAAATCAAAATCAATAAGCATTATATTATTGCAGCAATTCTTAACCATTTTTAAAGTGAGTTCACAGTGCATTCAGTAGGCCTAATGTTAACAGATACAACTTTTGATCTTAAAAAAATTAGTAAATATTAAGATTTACATTAAGATTAATAAATGCTGCAGAAGTATTGTTCATTAATTAGTTTATTTAATTCACTAATGTTAACAAATTAAACCTTTTTGTAAATTATTAATTAATATTTTTTTTTCTGAGCAGTTGCACCACAAGCTGAACTAAAATTATAACGTACTAAAATTATCAAATATTTAAGAGACTGTTTCACACAGTCACGAGGGTCTGCAAGTGTCCTCTCTATGATATCACTTCATGTTTCCAACATTTATAATAAATCATAATTTTAGAATGATTTCTGAAGGATCATGTGACACGGAAGACTGAAGTAGTGATGTTGAAAATTCAGCTTTGCATCACAGAAATAAAATATTTCAAAGTATATTAAAATAGAAAACCACTATTTTAAATTGTAATAATATTTCACAATATTACAACTTGATGAGCAAAAGAAACTTCTTTCAAAAACACTATAAATAATAAATTGCTATGCCAAACATTTTTCTTTTCAAAAATGTCATTGTTGGAATGTTTATTTTGAATACATTAAGAGACCTGAATCAAATTAGTAGAACAAATTAATAAAGCATCATTGACTCTATAATGAACATGTTTTGGTAAGCTTTTGCAGATACTCACCGAAAAATGAAAACACAATGGCAATGGCAACACTTCTAATGTATTGCTGGGAAGTGTTATTACTTTTAGCCACAACCTCCACTGTGATATTCCTGTTCGGCGGGACACAGTTGGCGTCAGTCAGCTCCAGCACAGTCTGCACAGCTGGGTTATCTGTGTTCACACACACCATCCTCTGGCCATTGTACAACACTTTCTCAGGAGCCTGAATGTAGCTGTTGAGGAACGAGGCCAGCTCTCTCAACTCACACGTACAGCTCCAGCGGTTCAACTCAAGGTTCAGCACTGAGAGCCCCGACAGGTACGAGAATGCATCCGGAGCGGTGCGCAGATGATTTCGGGACAGGTCGAGGCTGTGGAGACGAGGCAGTCCTCGGAAGCTATCGCTGCCTACGTACACGATGAGGTTGTCGGACAAGTCCAACGTTTCCAGGTTCCTCAGGTCCGCGTGGGCAAAGCTAGTGGAGTTCAAGACTGTAAAGAGGTTCCCCTCTAGCTGAAGTGTTTTTAAAGCACTAGAGTTTTGAAACCAGGAGCCGTCAATGTCTTTCAGATTGTTGTTCCCAAGCTGGAGAGTCTCCAATCTGTGAAGCCAGGAGAACGTGGAGCTGTCCAGGGTTTGACTGGAGATGCGGTTGTGGTCCAGCGACAGTGTCGAAAGGAAAGTGAGGTTCTGAAACGCATTCTGCTCGATGCTGGAGATGGCATTGTTGCTGAGTGCCAGGACACTCATGTTGGATAAATCAGAGAGAACCATGTTGTCCACAGAATCAATGAGTCCATCAGTGAGCATCAAAGCTTTAGTAGAGCCTGGTGCATCTGAACATGATGAAGAAAACAAAAACTATATTAAAAAATGTACATTATCCAAACTCCATCCTGTAGAGCCTGACATATATGCAATAGTAGTCAAAATCTTTTTTGTTAAAATGGAAAAACACATACACACACACACACACACACACATATATATATATATATATATATATATATATATATGTGTGTGTGTATGTGTTTTTCCATTTTAACAAAAAAGATACGCAACATAAAAACTTTCTTTTTTTATATGTTATCCATATATATATATATGGATAACATATAAAAAAAAGAAAGTTTTTAAAAAAAGAAAAAAGAAACATAAAAACGTTATTTTTTTATATTTTATCCATATATATATACATGGATAACATATAAAAAAAAGTTTTTATGTTGCGTATCATTCTTTTATGGCTCATATTGTAAAATATAGCAGAATATGGAGCTCATAAAACATCAACCCAAACCGAGCAAAAATATGCAATTTGTGGACGGAAGTATGATGAAATTCTAAAAGCTTAATGTAAATCAATTAAATCATTAGAAAACTACTTAGGTATAAAATGCAAATAAATATCAATTGTCACTTGGATTATATCAGATTAATATGTCATATTATTGATTTTTCTCATTGTTTTTTTTCTCTAAAAAACGATGTATGGATAATCAAGTAAACCTAAGTTGCCTTAGTCTACTAAGTGTTTATGAAATATTACTAACAATATAAAATGCATTCTTACATTTCTTCCTTTATAAAAGTCAGTAAAGATTTCACAGCAAAAAGACCACAACCTGAAGGTTTTTATAATCATACTAAAAGGCCATTTACTCAAAAAAAATTATAAAATGTCAATCAGATGACAGAAGGGATTGTGTGCAACAGTTTAGAGGCCATATTTTGCGTATCAAATATGAGACAGTAGGCTTTAGGGTTAAAAATGTATTTCCATCGGTCTCCGGGGTACTTAAATGGATAATATACCCAAAACATTTTAATCTGTCATAATTTACTCTTCCTCATTAGTAATTCAAGAGAAATTTTCTCCATACAATGGGGTCAAAAAACACTAATTGGTCCCCATTGACTTACACTGTATGGACAAAAATATGCTGTGACATTCTTTTAGGACATACCCTCTTTTATGTTACACCGAAGAAAGAAAGAAAGGTTTGGAATGACGAGGAAGTAAATTATGAAAGAAAATATTTATATTTGGGTGAACTATCCCTTTAAGCTGTGTGCTCAAGTTCTTCAGCCGCATAATACTTAACTTACCAATGATTCTTGAGAGTTTATGACAGATGATGACATCTTCAGTACACACCAAACAGGAAGCGGGGCAAAGTGACGACAGCTGAACTTGAGTGACTGTCAGCATCAGTAGAAGGCAGAGACCTGAGAGGAACGACGTAGAGTTCACCTCATGTTAGTCAGACAAATTTTTCCTGGCCTTATTTTAATGGAGAATACATGAAGAATCAGCTCTCTGAGACTACTTGAAAAACTATGCACATACTTCTCATGATTTGCCATTGAAGTCAGATTGAAGCCAGTATTGGACTTCCAAAATGGGTTATGTGGTCCATGACCTTCGATCAGATTGGTTCAGGCCATGTTAATCCTCCAACAGCCTGTCAACAAAAGCACAACATAATCAGTCAATATCTACATTCAGTCAACCTTCCCAACTCGTAATAGTCCTCCTCATTGATAACTAGTTCTCCTGTTTTGGATGCTGTGCTCCTCTGACCTCTGTTGCCTAGAAACGCTGACTGTCAGACAGATGAGGAGGGTGGTGTAGTTATAAAACATGCATGATCTTCCACCTGTTTGCTTCTGTGCAGGTGATTCTGCTCTATATATAGTGTGTGAGAACACTAGAAACACCTGCCACAATAAAATGTCTCCTTATCCTCAAGGAAATAAGGATATTTCACAAAATAAAGCCCTACAGAACTGTTGTTCAGTGGCAAAACTGAGTAACATTTTTTTTTAATTCATTTATAAAATCAAAAAGCATTAAAAAGACTTTTGTTTGTTTTTAAGAAGTCTCTTTTGCTCAACAAGACAGGATTTATTTGATCAAAAAGACAAGAATAATTAATATTTCAAAATATTATTACAATAACCGTTTTCTATTTTAATATTATGGTAAAATGTCATTTATTTATGTGATGGCAAAGCTTTTTTTATTGTCAGTGTCATTATTCCAGTCTTCATTCTAATATGATAATTTGATGCTGATAATTTTAATTTTCTTTATTTTCAATGTTCAAATTTGTGCTGCTTAATTTTTTTTTTCTTTTTTTTTGTGGAAACCGTAATAATATTTTTTTAAAGATTCTTTGATGAATAGAAAGCTGGATAACAGAATTTTTTTTAAATAATTTTTTTTTGTACCATTGTAAATGTCTTCTTACTGACCCCAAAAGTTAAAAAAGGTAGTGTACATACAGTACCAGTTCATAAATCATATTCTGTAGTTCAAAAAATTGACACAAATATTGCTATCAGACATATCTACACAAGTCTGTCAAAATACTAACCTGGGTTACATTAAAGCACATTCAAGCCAAGTTCTTAAACATTTGTATTGATCAATTTACTATATGCTCAGTATATACAAACACTAGCTTGAGAAGGCAAAATGTCATACACTCATATCCATATCCTGAGTCCAAACAAGTTAAATTGCAAACCTCTCTTCAGTATTAGTTCACCAGTGGTTGCACTGTCCCAGCGACGCTGTGCCTCAGAGATCAGCAGTGGGGTTGTGTATGGTTACGTGTAAACGGAGCATGCGTTGAACCAGCGTGTCACCTGATCTCAGAAATGTGGTACAGTGTCCAACACTGATGCCAGATAGCCAAGAACACACACGGGTTCACCTTACAGATTCATCTGTCAATAACCGAGGCAGACTTACAGCCAATCAGCACTCAAATAGTTACCGTGTTGGTTTTTATCTACTAATCAGTGTAAGAAATTGTAGTCCCAGATTCCACTCCAAAACATATTTTAGAATGAGCTCATCCCCAAAATGGCCTAATTATCATAGAGACGAAGGAAGTCAAGTTATATTTACTGCAATGCTGTAATAAACTTCATTTTTGAGATCTTTGACGTCAACGTCATTTTTTCTTACATTCATTAAAATCAGTAATGTGCACAATTTTAGGCCTTGTGAAATATACCATTCATGTATAATTAATTATTATCAATTTCTTCAATTTAATTTCCATAAAACATTTGCTGAACTAATGTTTTCACTTGTGATGGTCTCTATAATTAGTTTCATACATGAAAATTTCATATATCTGAATGCAACAATGAAGTGCAAATGTGGCATGCAAAGACAGTTGAGGGTTTCCACTTCCTGACTGATTTCACATGTTTAAAATCATCTTTCCACTGGCTCCAGAACTGCCTATGATGTCTTCGTGAGCCTGGGCCACTTTATCAAGTGAATATTGAGGACCAATGACAGGTTTCAACCAGCCTGCCTCCATTCCTGCAAAAAGAGCCGCAGCACACTCTGACGTTTCCCTCTGTGAAAAACACAGATAAAGACAACAGTCTGTATAAAAGATGTGGCAAAGGTGAGGAGTAAAATTATAATAAGTTCAAACACCAGAAAGCAAGAAACTGCACAGGAAGCCCAGTGTACCTTAGTTGCGTTGTACAAAGCCACGCCGATGATGCTGGTCTCTTTCATCATGGTGTCTCTGGGGTTGATCTCAATAGGGCCTCTAGAGCCAACGATCTAATAGAACGAACAATATAATAATTGGACAGTATGCACAAAAACACTCAGGAAACAAACACAAGGTACTTACCATAACCCTGCCACCTAAGCCAAGCAACTGAAGATCATTACTGAGGTTGACGTTGGACAACATCTCAATGATCACGTTCACGCCTTGTCCAGTGGTAGCATCCTGAACACGGGAGACAAGCTATTATAAAAACTTGCCACTTTCGTTTTTATGTTCTTTTTATATGCTTAATATATACTTTATTAAGACTTCATTAAAGAGGTACTCCACTTTTTATGGAAATAGGCTCATTTTACAACTCCCTCAGAGTTAAACTGTTGAGTTTTTTTCCATTTTCCAATCAATTCAGCCGATTTTCTGATATTTAGAAGAATATCAGTAACCAGACCGTTTCTGGTCCAATTGACTTCCATAGTATGGTTACTGATATTCTTCTAAATGTCAGAAAATCGGCTGAATGGATAAGAAAACGGTAAAACCCAACTGTTTAACTCTGGGGGAGTGGTAAAATGAGCCTATTTCCAAAAAAAGTGGAGTATATTTCAAAAGTTCACTTTAGACATTTTACTTTGCAACTGCATGTCAACTAACTCGCAATAGAGTATTACCTGACTGTCTGCTTAATATCTGCTAACTCTTTATTTTGATGCTTCCAAGAGACATTCTACTGGCTGTAAGTAACTTTGCAACTACTTGTCAACTTATTCTACTAACCCGAACCCTAACGGTTTACTAATGAGAGTTATCAGACATGTAGTTGACAAGTTACTGTCACGGAACACTTACAAAAATGGGAAGAGAACTCAAGTGCAAAAACAAGGAGGATTTATTAACAAAAACAAAACAAACACAAATCAAAAACCCACAAGGGGGAAAACACAATAAATGAACATGAAACCAACATAGACTCTGACCATAAGAACATCAACAAGGAACTGGGATGACGTATGACAACGAACCGACAAAGACTGCATAGAAGAGGAGACTTAAAAAGGGAACAAATCAAGAGGGGACAGGTGGAACAACTCAAACACTAATCAGGTAACGAGGGGGAGGGATCAACAATCACAACAGCACATGGCACAACATGACAAACACCCATGTGCAACACAAGACAGGACAGGCATGTGACAGTTACGTATAGTTAGTAGAATGTCTAAATTGAACCATTGAAATAAAGTGTAACCTAGATAAATTTACTAAGAAATTGATCAAAAATGACAGTAAAGACGTTTATAAACTTTAATAACGATTTCTATTTCAAATAAATGCTGTTCTTTTCCACTTCTATTCATCAAGGAATCCTGAAAAATGTATCACTGTTTCCACAATTTAAGCAACACAACTGTTTTCATCAAGATTGATAATATTAGGAAATGTTTCTTGAGCAGCAAATCATCATATTGGAATGATTTCTGAAGGATCATGTGACACTGAAGAAGACTGGCAGAAGTAATTCAGCTTTGCATTACAGGAATGAATTGCATTTAACAAGATATTCACATAGAAAACAGTCATTTTAAAATGTAATAATATTTCACAATATTACTGTTTTTACTGTATATTTTTTGATCAAACAATTGCAGCCTTGGTCAGCAGAGGAGATTTTTTTTTATATATATATATTTTTTTTTACCAACCCCAAACAGTGTTCTGTATGTATAGTGTAAAACTTAAATAAGAGAGAACTAAACCTTAATTTTCTCCAGATAGTCTTTTTCTCTGTGGTTGAATGCTAGATGAGCTCCATTGCTGAGCACCAGCTCCATCCCCTCGGATGTCCCAGCTGTTCCCAGAACTGTAAGGCCAAATGCTCGTGCCATCTGACACGCTGCAATGCCTACCTACAAATACAAGCTCAATTCATTCAAGACATTAGGAGAATACTGTACTTTACAAGTCTAATTCATCCAAATCATTTTTGAAATGTTAAAGGGATAGAAATTAATTTTTGGTGTGTTTTAGCTTATCTCAAGGGCATCCAAGATGTATGTGTCTTTGTTTCCACAGTAGTTTCAATTTTGATATTTTTAGGTCAAACCGTTCTTGTCTGTCAGTCATATAATGGAGGTCTATGGTCACCACCTCAAAGAGCATGCACAGAGAAGTCCAAATTAAACATGATTTAATGACTCGTAATGTAAGTACACATTGATGGCATAAGACACGAAACGAGCGGTTTGTGTGAGAAAACGAACAGTATTTATATCGTTTTTACCTCTTGTTACCACAGCCACAAAGCGCCCGCGCCCTCAGATCACTTGGATGTGGCTGTGGTTACTAGAGGTAAAAACAATATAAATACTGTTCGTTTTCTCACACAAACCGCTCGTTTCGTGTCTTATGCCATCAATGTGTACTTACATTTACGAGTCATTAAATCATGTTTAATTTGGACTTCTCTGTGTATGCTCTTTGAGGTGGTGACCATAGACCTGCATTATATGACTGACTGACAAGAACGGTTTGACCTAAAAATATCAAAATTGAAACTACTGTGGAAACAAAGACACCTACATCTTGGATGCCCTTGAGGTAAGCTAAAACATACCAAAAATTTATTTCAAAGTGAACTATCCCTTTAAGGGAAATTTTTAATGTCATACTCCACCACTTGCTCCATGAATAAGAACCGTCTCTCCTGCTTTGGCATGAGCCCTGTTTAGAGCAAAAGAACATTTGTATCCCTTTTATTTTTACATAGCTCCAGAAAACAACTCCCAATGCAGTCTTTTACAGTCATTGAAAACAACATCTTACTTGTGAACTAGCGCCCGGTACGCAGTGAAATATGGGACTCCGAGAGCTGCACCCTGTTTGTAGTCTAGGGAATCAGGCAGCTTGTGGACAGTGTCCTCTGAGGCCACAGTATATTCAGCGTATCCGCCCATCACAGTTCCTGTGGTGAAGACTCTGTCACCTGTCTGTGAAAACAGAAAAGATTGCTATCCATCCAAAGCAAACGAGTAAACATGTGGTGAGTGTGCAAGATGGGTAATAAGATGACCCGTAGGAGATGAACATCCTCCCCGACAGCTTCCACCACACCAGAGACATCTGATCCTGGAATATAGGGTAAACTGGGTTTCCGAGCATAGGATCCAGAGCGGATGTACGTGTCCACTGGGTTTACGCCACACGCATGAACTCGAATCAGAACCTATAATTGCAGAAAGTGTTTACACAGCTCATTGGAAAAGACAACAATAATAGCTACTGATTAATTAAGTAAATGTATATAAATATTCACTATGAAAAAAAAAGTGAAACTGGGTTTTCTAGATCATTCTCTAAACATGACCAACATGTCCTTTGACTTTTCAGTCATGAAACACACTTCAGATATTCAAGCAACGTCATATAAAAGACATTATTCAATAGTCTTACAATGCAAAATTTGACACTTTTGAAATTGAAATGAGTCTATGTTGCCAAAACTTTTGTAATCAATATGATTTAAGAAGTTTAATCAAAGTATTTTGGAGACAATCGCCTAATTTCATGAACAGATTTAATCTAGGCTTTTATTCACAACATATAAACATTGACCAGTGTTCTTTTTTTCCTGGGTTAAGCATTAGTGCAAGGTCTAAAAAGTGTAGTTTAAAACATGAATCAATTAAAAATTAATGTTTGTCCTTTATTATGACATGTAATATATATTCTTAATATTGAAAGCTATTTATACCATGCAAAATGTTGTGGAAAAAAGTCAAAGTTCAGAGTAAGAAGCTGAACTGATCTTCCCAAACTGAAACAGTTAATAATTCACAATTTTACTTTTTTTTCACGAGGTTGTTTTACATGGCTATTACACAATGCTTGTGCGAAAGAAGTTAAATAAAATTGATTAAATAACATAAGGTAATGATTTTAGCCAGACCAGGTGTGTGTTTTGAAAAGTGGTTGACAGAATAATTCATAAAATAGAATAATACATGATTAAACAACAAGTCAAGTTGTCCATTGAGATCAGTAGTAGTAATGTCAGGATGTTAATGAATAATTACCATCAGCTTTCAAGGGAGAAAATTTAACTGAATTCAAAACATTCAGAAAAAAAAGTCAAGATTGTTTTGAAATTTGAGATGACCCACCTGTTTCTGGCGAGGACTTGGCACAGGTAGGTCTGTGCAGAGTTTTAAAACCGAAGGGGCTCCAAACTCTGACACCCTGATAGCCCTCATTAATTTAGATGTGGTCATAGTGGCCTCTGCAAAACAAATGGATTGGCAAAGCAGATTGAACTTTGGCTGGATATTGCACAGTTGAAAAAAAGCAAACACTGAATTAGTACATCCGAATGGAAATTATCATATATTCCATGTAGCACATATAACTTTGCACAGCGTCATGAAAGAAAACGGCACGCCATAAATTTGTTCACCTTCCAGACGGTAAAAGACGGAGGTTGCAGCAGCTTACCTTACTCGGCTTCCGTATGAAATGAGTTTGGGCACATCCCGGCCACCGTACCCGACGTGCACTCAAAACACAAACATGACACATGCGGATCTACAACAAAACTAGATTAATAATTTAAAATCTGATTGCATTGCTTTATTATATTATTCCAAAGGTCGGTAGAAGATACAACAAATACGTCAATAGTCTTGAAACATGGAGGGCGAAACATTTCAGCAATGGAAGAATCAGTGTCTTAATAAGTGTGATTTCAGTAAGAAGGGCAGTGTGGATGAGGACATTTCTCATATCGTCTCCTTTATTAACAGTCATGATCGGTACTTCACGACAAGCTCTTGCTCCGGAAGAATCATACTTTTTGACGGGGTGAGCCTGGGAAACGTTTATTGACTGTTGTCTACTCGGCAAACCAATGATTTTCTTACTTTTTTACTTGCTTTCCAGTACAAATATACAAGCATATTAAACCAAGGTACATTTACTTGCTTGAGAAGCAAAACAACTTAAAGGGATAGTTCCAAAAAATAAAATTCTGTTATCATTTACTCACCCTCAAGTTGCTCCAAACCTGAATTAATTTATTTCTTCTGCTGAACAGAATAATAAGCAACCAAACAGTTGATGGACTCCATTGACATACATAGTATAATGTTTTTTCAATGGTGCCCCACAAATGTTTGGTTACCCATATTCTTCAGAATATCTTCTTCCTTTGTGTTCAGCAGAAGAAATAAATTCATACAGGTTTGGAACAACTTGAGGGTGCGTAAATGATGACAGAATTTTAATTTTGGGGTAAACTATCCCTTTAAAATATTTAGTGAGAGATTAAAAAGGGTTAAAAATGGAAACTTAATTAAAGGGAAAATAAGAAATAATTTTTCCTACCTTTTTCGGCAGATCTTTTTTTTTTCTCTTGTTTTAAGCAAAAGCACACTCATTTTTCTGGTGTATTATTTGTCAACCATATGGCTTTTCATCTAAGGTGTCAGATTGCCCTGATGTGCAAAAGCGAAACTGTTCCTGGTTATTTGTCACTCATCAAAAGTGCCAAATAGAAGACGTGGTGAGAAATACAGCATTAAAGACATTTGACAAATGTACAATAATAAATGACCCCGATACTAAAGCTTTGCGTGTGTCTGAAACAGGTCACAGGTCTGGAGAAGTCTGTTGGAGATGCCACTTTCAAGTTTGAGCCTTTTGTCCTTCACGTTCAGTGTAAACAGCTTGGCGATGCACAACTACTGGTGAATGTCACACTGAATTAGAATGAGACATCAAGATGTTTTGAGGAGAACAAAATAATAACTTGCTTTTCATGGTTTGTTCCTTCCTCAGCACACTGTTGCAATAAACTCTGGCCTGAGGAATTCTGGTATAACTGTGGGAAAGAAAGGCAAGATCATCATGGTAAGATGCAAATTGTGCTTTGTGTTCAGCATTAGAGATACTTCTGAAAGGTCCTTGAAATGTGTTTGTTGTATAGGCGGTACGCAGCACACATTGTCTTGAGGTTCCTCTCAGCCACAAGGGGAACGTCCTCACCACTGACCAGTACCTTGATTTCCTCGTCGGAGTTGCGAACCAGAAGATGGAAGAAAATCTTAAAAGAATAGAGAGGTATATTGTATTGTATTGTTTTCTTATTTAAATTGATGCTATTTAATGCAATTTAGGTGTTTGAAATAGTTGAATTATTAAATTATTGTCTTAAAGGGCACCTTGGTCTGTACCAGTGTTAATTTAATATGGAGATGCTATTATATTTTTTTTCATATTTTGAATTAGTGACCAGGAAATTATTATTTTAAGTTAAATATTAGTTTAAATTTGTTAATGTTGTTTTTTTTCCCCATTTATTTCCACATTTAAATGAAACAACTTGTGACTGAATTTTATCCTTCCCACGTGTTTTGTAACAAATCCTTCCCTCGTGGGTCAAAAATGACCCGAAGTCCTAAAATTATACCTACATTTTTTTTTTGTTGTTGTCCAGAACACTTTTTTTTTTCTCTATTTTTTAATGCAATTTTCTTTTGGAGATTTTTTTTCTATTTTATTTACTTTTTTTAAATTACTAGATTTAATCAATAAACAATCAATAAAGTCATTTAAGCACATTATTCACATTCTATCAACTTAAATTCAAAATTACTCACAATTTAATGCCTAAACCTACAGAAACCCTGAACCACAACGTAAAAAAAAAGTATATGTAAAAAAAAAAAAAAAAAAAAAAACCATCTAGCATTTCGAGATTAAAGTCGAAACAACATTAAAAAAAATTGATTTTCACCACAGGGGGACTTCTATTTATTTTAATATGATAGTAATGCTATATTTCTATTTATTTGAAATAGATTCTATGAGTGCTTACAAGGTGCCCTACAACCTCAAGAACAGAGATGTAGTTTAAAGGAGGAGGCAGACAAGAAACCCATCTATAGACGGAGGAGGAAAAGGATGCAGGACGATTCTGTGACGGACTGTTGCCAAAGCGTCAAAAAACATGATGAAATCAGCGAAGAGGAAATGGACTGTGATCTACTGTTTTCATCATCTTGAACAGTGCACATTTATTCCATAAACACCTCTTTAGTTTGAAGTACCAGCTCATTAGACATACCTCACATTAATGTTTTATGTGAACATTAGACGTAAACAATTGTTCTTTTTAATGACAAATATAAATGAAACAGTCTCATAGGCTACCCACTTCATTTAGGAACCTTTTTGATAAGGGGCGTCTGCTTCCTGATTAACATTTGCCTCATTATTTTGCAGGAGCTTAGCGAATCTGTTTTAGTTTAACATGGCGTTACTTCAAAGCTTTTGTGCGCGTAAACCTTAACTCTTTTGCTCGTGCAGAAGGAAGATGTTGTCGCTTACAGCAATGTATAAATCGAGCGTGTTATTCATCTCCAACGAGCAATCTGTCAGACGCCGTGGTGAAAACGGCGTGTGGTTTGGAGCACATTTCCTCTGGATTAGAAGGCATTACTGACGGGGTCAGGTTCTGCAACGCCTCATTTGGGAGACTTGGCTCATTAACAGTCCGCCATGTGCATCTACTTCATTCTGCTTTTGATTTTTCATTGTCATTAAAGACTTTCATGGTTTTAATGAAGACAAGAATGTTGAAATAATTCACTTGTATTTATCAATAAAGCATTTTCTAGATACAATACAAATATAAACATTACTTTTCATACATAAATAACCAAATAAAGGTTATTTAGCTGCATTTACACGTGTAAACATCATCTCATGACCCATACCTGTATGTATCAGTCAGTTTAAATAGATTGTAAAGATGATTTTCTAAATAAACTAATAATGAATGGGTCTGGATCTGGAAAGGGGTTCTGTGGTAATAAATAAATAGTACTTTCAAGTTATTTCATTCATTTAAAGATGTCTATCAATGTAAGCATCATTTGAGAATTACCCATCTTTTGAATATCTGGGTATTATGTTAAAGGGATAGTTCACTTTGAAATTAATTTTTGAAATATTTTAGCTTACAAGATGTAGGTGTCTTTGTTTCCACAGTATTTTCAATTTTGATATTTTTAGGTCAAACCGTTCTTGTCTGTCAGTCATATAATGGAGGTCTATGGTCACCACCTCAAAGAGCATGCACAGAAAAGTCCAAATTAAACATGATTTAATAATTCGTAAATTTAATTACACTGTTGGGTCAGTGAACCCAAGGAGTCAGTCCTAGAGCTCCTCCTGTCCGATTTTAAGGAAGAATCAGGTCCCTCTGAGACGTCTAATGGACTTAGGCAAAATAAGATACACTGCTGTTTTGCCATTTGTGAAGTTTATTGTATGTATCATCTACTACTTTAATTCATTTTACACAAATTAATTTTAAAGCACTTTAAATTGCCATAGTGTATGAAATGTGCTATATGAATAAACTTGCCTTGCCTAGTGCTGTCAGACAGACAGGCATCAGTATGAATGTGTACAGCAGTACACCAGTAGATGGGGTAAATGCACTTTTAAAGACATCAGTAACAGCTGTTCTTCAGTGGTTCAGTTATGCACTAAATATAATGACCCTAAAGAGAATAATCGACTTGCTTTAAAATAACCTTTGGTATCTTCAGATGTTAAACGAATATTTTTGTTCCTTTGAAGTCTATTTATTAATATTACTAAATTTGGGTCATAATTTATTACATCAAAACCTCTAAGGTGTAGACCTCAAAGATGATTTTTTCGGTTGATCACAAAAACTATATTGTTTAGTATAGGCCTACACTCCCATTCAAAATATTTTTTGTTCAGCAACTATTCATCAAAGAATCCACAAAAATATAAAGCAGCACAGCTGTTGTCAACATTGATAAATGTTTCTTGATAATCAAATCATATTAGAATGATTTCTGAAGGATCATGTGACACCAAATACTGGAGTAATAATGCTGAAAATTCAGCATTGCATAACAGGAATAAATTCTATTTTAAAATATATTCAAATAGAAAACAGTTATTACAAATTGTTATATTATTTCATAATATGTCTGTATTTTTCATCAAATAATTGCAGCTTTTTTGAGCATAAGAGACTCAAATATATATAAAAAATTACTGACCCTAAACTTTTGAACGGTAAATTTAATGCATTAATACATTATGAAATTATTGAATTGTGAGTCACTAAATCGAAACAATATTCATTGATTTTCAGTCTGAAGCCACTAAGGATCCAGTGTACCTGTGGTCAGTTTCAGACACATGTCTACTCATTGTTATACACTCCCATTGTTTCCTGCAAAAAAAAAAGAGTGACATTGAGATCCAGGTTAACCACAAATGCACCTTTCACCAACCAAAAGGACTTCTAATGATAATCTTAAAATAACATCAATTAGCCAGCTGAAAGACTAGGGGATGATTAGAAATCTCTCATAATTATTCCTAGACATTAAGAGATAGGAGGGAGGAGGGGCGCTTGATTGGCAGGTTGAGCTGAAGGGGCATTAGAGTGAGTGAGAGGGAGTGCTGGGAAGGGCACAAGGACCGCCGCAATCAGAGCAGAATTGGGAGCTTTTGTGCCTGTGTGATTGTCAAGTGGGCCATTTCTGTCTCTGATTAGGACCCTCTCTCTGATTCGGCGGCTGTGTGTCCTCAGGACTCCCTGCGCAATCACACTGCCTCTTACTGTCACTCCAGGCCTGCTGATTTCTTAGAGAGAGCGAGAAAAAAAAAGAAGAATAAAAGAGACACACATGCCAACTCAACCCCTGTGTCCTTCACAACTAAACACTGACTCAGTTTTACTATAGGAACGGTCAACTTATATTTGAATGAGCATTTAAATGAAGCTAAGAATATTACATTTACACTTAGCCATAACTGTGTCTCTGCAAAACAATTATAAATCCCATCTTCAATTCCCACGCTATATGCAAATTATGTGCTGCATTAGCTAATGGACAGGTAGTATGCTAATAGAAATACTACTCTTACAATGCATTTCTTTCTATTTCTACAATGCATCACATTGTTTACCAAGAAACATTTTTGGTTTATCTCATAACAAAGGAACATCAAATCCTTCAAATCCAATTGATATGCAAAATTACATTTTAAAGGAGTCGTATGGTATCTGAATGGAAATTCAGTCGACACCCTCAAAATTCAAGTAATTATAATCTTCAAATATAGCTGCAAGCAGCCATTATCGGGGCCAAGCTCAAAGAAGACGTGCCAACATGGACAACAATGAGAAGTTAAAGACATTTTTTTAAGATGATTTTAGGCAAAATGGGTGAAAAAAATCATTCAGCCACTAATAACATGATTTATTTCCGGTTGAAGGGCACGCTGGCGCGTTTGGCTGCCGCTCCTCTCTCCCATTTTTATTTTTAATTGTTTTTTATTTTGGCTATGAGCCAGTAAAGTCTATCTGTGTTTTGTATTTTTTTCACTTTCTACCGTGATGTGGAATTATGCTTCGCACGCTGGACTACTGCTTCTATCTCTGAGTGCTGTTTACTGGAATTCACTCTTCTGTTGCTTGGCCCAGGACGTACACTGCTTACACCGCTGTGAGGCTGCTGTTGGTGTGGACCTTCCCCAAATGGCTATCAGGTACACTGCTCGCCAGTTGTTGAACCTGAACAGACGTTTTGATACAGCGAATGATATACGAGCTCTCTGCAGTCATGTTGGAATACTGCGACCTAAGCGCTACATACATCGCTCTTCAAGGCGTAGTTTTTTAAGCTCAACATCTAAATCTGTCGCTTATCCGAGATTTCTGCGTGAACCCCATAGACTGCCGTTTAGACCTACAGGGGTTAATTTCAATAACTTATCAGCATTCAGGCGTGATGAGGTTGCATCGGATACATCGGCTCCCCCGCGTCTGCTGAAATCAGCACTGTTTAACGCGCGCTCGGTCAACAACAAAGCTGTTCTTTTATCTGACATTATTTTAGAAAAAAAGCTGGACCTTTTCTGTTTAACTGAAACTTGGCACAAAGAATCTGACGGTCTTCTTTTTAATGAACTGACTCCTGCTGGCTATGGATTATTTGATCTCCCACGTTCTTCTGGTAGAGGTGGGGGTATCATCGTGCTGCACAGTCTAAAGTTCAACTTGTGTCCCGTGGCTGCTCCCAAATTTGCCTCATTTGAATGTCTTGTTCTGAGTGTCTCTACGCCCCTTCCGACTGCAGTGGCTACAGTCTACAAGCCTCCTAAGACTAATAAAGACTTTCTATCTGAATTATCAGATATGTTGTCTTTTCTCTTCCTCAGATTTGAAAGAATTCTTTTACTGGGGGATTTCAACATTCATATGGACATAAAAGACTCCGCAATAACAAAAGACTTTCTGTCCATATTGGAGTGCTTTGAATTAGACCAACTAGTAGACTGTCCTACGCATGACAAAGGCCACACCTTAGACCTTGTGATTTCCAGTGGTTCATTTGTGACTCAGTTAACTACCACTGATTTAGGTCTGTCTGATCACCGGGCTGTCATTTTTAATTTGGAAATACCTGTCATGTATACAAACACTTCACGCATTATAAATTATAGGAATTGGAGATCTATTGAGCCCTCTGATTTTTCTGACTTTATTGACTCTCTTTTAAACTGTGACTCTCTATCTGATGATCTGGATGACAATGTTTCAATGCTGAATTCTGTACTGTTGTCTGGCCTGGATACGCTGGCTCCCTGGAAATCACGATCTGTTTCTTTTGCACGCTCTGCTCCTTGGTACAATGATGATCTGCGTGCCATGAAGACTTTGTGTCGCAAAATGGAGCGTAGATGGCGCACCTCAGGTTTAGCTGTTCATCACCAGGCCTGGAAAGACAGCTTATTCAAATATAAGTCTGAAATTGTGTCAGCAAGATCTGTTTATCTTTCTCATATAATTCTCAGCAATCAGAGAAACCCCAAAAAACTGTTTCACTCAATTAACAAGCTGCTTAAAAATCACAGCGTCTCTAATGTTCCTGCTTCAACTCACCTTTGTAATATGTTTTTGGAGTTTTTTAGCACCAAAATTGACAATATTCGAAACCACATTGTTGCCACTCATACCATTGCTGCCTCCTCTTCAGATACATTTGCATTTTCTGGTGTCTCGCTCTCTAATTTTGCAATTCATGATTCCCAGTCTCTGTGTAATACGGTTTCAAAACTGAAAGCCTCAACTTCTAGAGTTGATCCTATACCAGCTTGCCTTTTTAAATCATGTTTTGATTCCCTCTCTCCCTTTGTTTTGAGAATTATCAATAACTCCCTGTGCACTGGTGTTGTGCCAGCTGCACTTAAAACTGCTGCTGTCACCCCTGTACCAAAAACTAACAACACGGACTTTGATAATCTGAATAATTTTCGACCCATCTCTAATCTTCCATTCCTCGCCAAAATTTTAGAACAAACAGTGGCTTCTCAACTACTGTCTCATCTTTCTGCTAATGATCTTTTTGAGCCACTTCAGTCTGGATTTCGGAAACTGCACAGCACTGAGACAGCACTGGTCAAAGTGACTAATGATTTGTTAATGGCATCTGATTCTGGCCGTCTATCTATACTGATTCTTCTTGATCTTAGTGCCGCTTTTGACACTATAGATCATTCGATTTTAATCAATCGCTTAGAGACCATTTTTGGAGTTTCTGATTCTGCATTAAATTGGTTTAAGTC